TATGGCACCCAATATATGGAGTTGTTCACTAATTATGGCGGTTCACCAAGACCTCTTTCCTCTCTCTTTTATCCTAAATCGTAGGGGTCATGCCCCCACAAAGGGAATTTTCTATCGCAACCACTATCTATTGTTGCACTTATCTTGTATCTTGCTATTTTGTTATTTTATTTTTCATAGAATCTTGCTTTAGATACTTTTCTTTTGAGTCTAGAGTTTATAAGAAAGAGCCCTCTCTACCCTGCCCAAAATTTCAAACAATAAATGGACCTCGAACTTAACTCAATCTTTTAATCGGTACCTCGTAAATAATTATTGTTAATTACTAACTATTTTGAACAAATTAAACACATTTGATGAACAATTAACAAAAATTAAGAAAATAAAGACTTTAGAGGAAGCTATTGATGCTGATTTTTTCTGCAATTAAAGAGGAATCGAAAGATTATGGAAATGTGAAGCGATGAAAACAAGAATTTTTGGAGCTTTTATAGGAAGGAGTATGATTGTGTGTGTTAAGCGTAGTGACGAAGTTAAGGGCTCATTTGATATTAAATACTATTCAATATCTAATAGATTTCCAAAGAATTAAATTTAATATATTCAAAGGGAACTATAGTAATATTACCCCTATTATTTATTATTTCTTAAGGTGTGTCAAATCAATAGTGGACAACTGTTGTTAGACACAAGGAATATTTTATAATTTTATTTTTTATCCCAACTATATATAAGATAAATTCATCCTAAAATTTGTCTCAAAATTAATTATTTCTTATAATTCATACCAAACTTACCAAACAATAAACTCAATCAATTTTTCAGTCAGTCTGAAAGTTGATCAATTTTTTGCATTTTTTATAGGGGTTTTTGGTCTTTATATGGATTTTTTTTAAGTTTATTATGTTAGTTAAATTAATTAAATTGTTCTATTTAGAAATTTTTAAAAACCTAAAGATGCTCATGATCATTACTTAAAGGATAAAAATTAAATCTACTTCCATAAATATGCAAAATATGACTATTCCAAATTATCTCAAGTTCTTGTTTGCCTTGCCGATCGATACATGCCTTACCATTGAGCGTGAGATGAATGATTTTGGGTGGCTAAATGGAGGCAATGAGGGATCGAGAATCAAGTGGATGTCATGTAATAACCCTCGGGGGTCATTTATATAGTTTTGTGTGTTTTTTCCATTTTGCCCCTTCTCGTAGCTTTCTTATGGCTTTTGTGTGATGTTGGGTAGGATAGCATGCTTTCCGAGGTGTTTAATTGAGTTTGGTGCGAGTTCTTGAGTTTGGAAGCTTTATGCTTGAAAGAGCTGACTTTAGTCAACATTCAGAGATTCTAATGTCGGATCGAAATTCAGTCATCTCCATCATCTCTAATGTGATGATCGATTCGGGTTTTTAGGCTTCCGGTTGGAGTTGGTGCGAATAGGCATTTTAGCTTTATAAGTTTGTCTAAAGTTTGACTTTGGTCAACTTTCTTGGTAAACACGCTCGAAATCAAATTTGATCTGTGCGCTTGGCTTTGGAATGTCGAGTTTGTCTAGAACAACCTTTGGTTCAGTTCCCAAGGCTATCTGGTTGAGTTTCTAGCTTTTGGCATTTTGTTTGTGTTTCTTTGTAAAAAGTGTTGACTTTGGTCAATATTTTGATGAAACAACCTCGGTTGGCTATTTCGTCGATTCCATTGAGTCTGTAATGTCATTTTCAAGTGGTTTGCACTTTTAGTTTGCATCATATGGACTTCAAATGAATTCTGAGGGCTTGTTCAATGTTTTTGACACTTGGCCCATTTTTTCTGAAAATCTGGTGTCTGGTGCGACGGCTTAAGCGAACTCTTGATCGCTTAAGTGATGTTGACTTATAAAGAGACCAAGAGGCCGCTTAAGCGATGGGCATTTGAGTGGCAAGGGTTGCTTAAGTGACCAACCCCTTTTGCGAAGGGCGCCTCTTAGGTGGGCTCCCCTTTTGCGAACATTTGGCCGCTTAAGCGATGTCCTATTTCGCAAACATTTGTTGGCTTTTGCGAAGATCGCTGGGTTAAAATATCATTCTTTTTTCTTTATTCAGACCTCGATATCTTGAGCTAGGAAGCTCCATTTTAGGTGATTCAAGTTGTGTTTCGTCTGTGGCTACGTGTGGTACTTGTTGGGGGAGCATGAAGGTCGTTGATTAGAGGTTTATTCTTCTACAAAGGGGGCTGCCCAGCCCTTTTTATTGTTCTTTTCGGCGTTTAATTGCATGGGTTATTTTCTCCCTTTCTGAGCAGTGAATTGTGTACCGTGTAGCATAAAGTTGTCCATGTGGAAAGCTTTCATTGGAAGAATAATAGTCCTTGGTGGAATATTCTAGAAATATATGGAGAAATCCTTGGAAGACCTTAAAATTCCATGATTTTGCATGGAAGGTCCTTAGAACATTCTAGTTGTGTAGAGTGTTCTAGAATTGGGGCTTACTAACAATTATTATTAGCATATTAAGATCCCGTTTGGATTGGCTTAAAAAAGTAACTTTTTAAAGTGCTGAAAGTTATTTTAAAAATAAGTAGTTTTGTGTTTGGATAAAAGTGTTGCAGTTGAAAAAAAATTGTTGATGTCTTTTGCAAATAAGTATTGTTATATACTTTTTTTTTATCAAAATGGCTGAAATACCCTTAAAACTAAAGAGTTGATTAATCTAAGGTTTTTATTTCTAAGAAAAATTAAAACAAAATTAATTTATATTATAATTCAATTTCAATAACTTAATATTTAAGTTAATTTTAAATGTGCAACTTATTTTAAATTTCAAAAATATATCATATGAAAGAATTTGGGAATTGTTTAAAAGAATTAAGGATAAAAAAGTAATATACTTGGTCAAAGTAGAATGAGTTTTAAGTAAGTTGTTCTTATGATTGTCAAACACTTTCACAAGTCAAAAACTGACTTTTAAGTCAGTTTGACAACTTAAAAGCCCATCCAAACGGGTACTAACTCTTAATTTAGTAGTATAAAGAGAGGAGCATCCATTTGTGAATTTATCAAGCAAAAATCAATCAAAGTTCTCTACCACAAAATTCTTCCTAATAATTTTCTTGTGTTCTCTCTACCATTCTCTTAGTGATTTCTAGTGTCTTAGGCTGACTTGACATAGCAAGATCCTAAACAAATAGTGCAAGAACTTGAACAAGTTGTCAAATATCGCACGTGTGTTTACTAGAAAACTAAGTCTGTGACAATAGGCTAAGCGAAATAGTAAAATTGACGCTCACTGATGTTTTGTATTCTACTAATACCATTTAAGAGGAAACTACGTGTCTTTAAGGGTAGGAATGGAAAATCACATAAAGTACAAACTACAGTAACTCTTTGTACCACTTCTATTGTTGTGTTCTACCTTTGTTGTTCACTTATATATAGGGGTAAAAAACTCTATAGTTTTCACTTTAATGAACAAATTTTTGAGATTGAGTTAGATTTGAAATGCACTATTAAAGAGCTATGTAAGTCTGATTTATGTGGTTTAGAACCTTGGCAGTATCATTTATTTTTGTTGAAATTTCTCTCTCCGCACTGTTTTATGTGATATATTTTTCTTTTACCTTTTAATCAAACTAGTATACGTGCTCGCGCGTTGCGTGGAGATTATTAAAAATTATTTAATTATTTGAATATATTACATCATTTTGATTTTATTAAAATATAATTATCATCTTATTTTCAATGCAATGTACTTAATATCATAAATTTTATATAATTAAAGGAACAAATCATATAAATGCATGTGCACTATCATCAAATAACATTTTTGATAAAACTAAATATTATAATTATATATTTCTTATACAAACGTTTCAAAAATATATTATGATTAAAAATAAATAAGAATGAAATAATTAAGAGAATATGTTGGTACACTCTCTCGAATTAATATATGAAAAAAATAATTTATTATTTTCTTTCAATGGAGAGACTTTGTGTAAACTAAATAATTTATTCATTTTTAATTAATTAAATATATTATATTTTATATTTTAAATAATCTGAAAGTTAATTACATGTTTTATAAGTCCATTACTTTTTGTTTTATTTTTTTATTTTTAATACTTTTTTTATACTTATTCATATATATATACAACTTCAGATTATGATAATTAATTTTATATAATCTATTAATTAAATTAAAATACAATTTACGAATTTTAATCAATCATTTTTTAATCTGTATTTAAAAAATAGACGGAAAAAGATTGCTATTTAAAAAAAAATTATGCAATAAAATAGTGAAAGCATATATAAAAGGTGTTATAATGAAGTTTATTAACATTATCTACTTCTACTAAATTACACGTAAAAATATTTAAAAGAAAAACTAAAAAATTCTAACTGCAGACGTCATCTTTCTACTTCTAAAATTGTTTTAAAAGGTGTTATAATAAAGTTTATTAACATTATCTACTTCTACTAAATTACACGTAAAAATATTTAAAAGAAAAAACTAAAAAAATTCTAACTGCAGACGTCATCTTTCTACTTCTAAAATTGTTTTAAAAGGTGTTATAATAAAGTTTATTAACATTATCTACTTCTACTAAATTACACGTAAAAATATTTAAAAGAAAAACTAAAAAATTCTAACTGCAGACGTCATCTTTCTACTTCTAAAATTGTTTTAAAAGGTGTCATAATAAAGTTTATTAAAATTAGTTTATAAATAACTAAAAATTAGATAGTTTGAAATTGCAATTTAAGATTATAAAATATAAAATAAAATAAAAAGAAATAATTTAATTAAAATTTTAAAATTATATGTAAACTAACTCAGTAACCACCACAAAAGTTCAAAAAATTTAATAAAAAACTGCAAACTCAAAGAAAAATAAAGTCAAAAAAAAGGCCAAGCTCTGCCCCAACACAATATACATATACATTATTACTCATATATATAAGCCAACAACACTAGGACTATTTCAACATCATAGAATTGTACCAGAAGCACTCTAAATGGTACATTAAATTACTACTTTTTCCTTTCCATGAAAACACATGTCAGTATCACTACTAAAACACGTGTACTAAGAAAATGCACAAAAGATAGCTCCAGCCCCCTCTGCTTGACAACTATGCAAAACCAAAGTTCAACTCCTCTCCGACCCTCAAAGACTTTGTCGAGTCACCGGAGGTTTCATCGAAGCGGTGAAAATAGGTACACTCCGTCTCTCTCCAGAAACAATCGGTGAAGACATTGCAAAGAAAACTGTAAGGAATCGGAATGATCTCCAGGTCACCGTGCAAAATCATCTATTTTATATGAATTTTTACTTCTCCGCCCTTATCTCTCGTGGTCGGACTTAACGGCAGAGGACGGCGGTGATAAGCCAAGCCTTGATTCCGACGAGTTGTTCATCTTCCCCCAGACTTTAACTTCTCCAACAACTAACACTACAATTAATAAGTATTTGGGGAGTCTTCTTTGACCTCCTCTTTAATACTCTTTCGGTTGAGTTTGAAATTTAGTTATTTATGTTCAATGTCAGATCCATATTTGTTGTTGCATATGGTATTTCTGTACAAATTAGAGAAATTAATATTTTAACCTTAGGTTTAAAATTGTGGCTTTTTAGAAATTGGGGGATTTTAGAATCGAACTGATCTCTAAAATGCAGACAGTTTTATTTGGAGTTCAAAGGCAACAAATGGAGTAGAACTACAATGAAGCTGCTTGATAGAGGACGATTTATTTAGCGAGATAATGAATTTAATTTTCACTTCATGATATTTCATTAATTAGGATATCAATTTTTGGTCTAATTCTCCTTTATTTTCTAATAAGATTATAGTTTGTTTAAACAATATGTGATGATTGAATCTCCACTTTTTTTCATTTTTACAATTTGTTAGCCACATTCTATGTATAATACAACTACGACGCTATGTTTTATGACTTTTGATTGTTGAAAATATTGATCTCATTTGCTATATTCATGACTTTTAAATTTTTTTTAGGTTTTATGACTTTTTACGAGCAACAAATGTCGTTGGAAAGTAGCTATACATTTCCTTCTCCTTTAATATTTTATTCACTGGATTATTGTGGGGATGGTTTGGATGAGTTGTTTGAGCTTTTTTGGTTCCTTTTTCTCTATGTAATGGTTTTTCTGTGTGCTTCTATGTTTGGGTGCATGTAATTTTTTAATAGCAACTGCAATTTTTATTTTTATTTTTTTCACAGTTTATAATTATATGTGGTGTCAAAAACAGTCTCTCTACCTTATCAAGTTATTGTTAAGGTTGTGTACACCACCTTCCCTATACCTCACTTGTGGAAGACCTAGCAAAGTACAAAATATGAATGAAGCAAACGATCAGTAGGCAACTCCAATGGTTAGGATTAATGTTTATTATGTTTTGCTACAGTTATATCAAGTATGTTGTTTGCCAGGAGTCCTTTTTGTTCATTACTGATTTGTATTTCGGATGGAAATATAAAAAATCTTTGTAATAGAGTACCTTAATAATTTATGAGTATTGGAATGAAACTGCTCCAAATGAAACAAAATGTATATTTAGTGTTCATATAGCCCACCTCAATTGACTTAGATTTGAAGCATAGCTTTTTAAATTTGTTGATCGTAGTTTTATGTACATAGCATCTTCTTTTTCTTGATCAAAGTAGGATCATTTTTTCATTATATTTGCTAGGTTCATCATGTCCAAAACAACTTCTTCTTTTCCTTTGCAAGGTCAGATCATTTTGAACTTCTCTCATTTTTCATTCCTTCATTGTTATGCTAAATCTTTGAACGAGTTGTAGCTACAATAGAATTATGTGACGGACACAATACTTTTGAAATGTAGTTTATATGCATTTTATAAGTTGTATATGTATATTATTACCAATATTTAGAAGTAAGAGTTAGAGAGGATGAACACGGCTATGATTAGTTGTACAAATAGTATTTAAAATTGTACTATAAAACATAGGGTCATTTTGTTGGCCTTTTGTGTCTGTGGATTTATTTAATTGGTTATTGTTACACGTGTAATAGATTGTCATTCGTGTCAAAAAATAACTCCCTCAAATGAATAGAGAAACGGAGACTGGAATGTTCCATTCCCATTTTCTTTACTGTGATTCTCAATTTACCCATTTTCTCAGTTTTTTTCTTCTCTTTCTTCATTTGGATCTATTAGTATTAGTTTATTTATTTACTCTCCTTTTCCAGATTTGACCTAATTTTCAAGATCTATTTGATGCTTGCATTGAGAGGTAATTAATTCTCTTCTTACATTTCTGTTCTCTAAAGTTTAATGTATTTGGTATTAACTTTTATATTTGATGGATTTTTCTCCTTTTACATTGTTTTTATTTAGATTTTGTTTCATGAAAATGGAAATAAGATTGAACTTAGATAGTAGGAGTGCCAGAAAATAAGATGAAGAGATTTTGTTAGGTTGCTTATGTCATTTGGTTGATGTACATGTTTTGAACTGTGAGTGTATCTTAGCATAGTTTTGAGCATTGATGACCTCTCTGAATTTAACCACTCTATTTGAGATCCCATTTCTTGGGTGGGAAGTCTCAAATTGAAAATAAAGTTGTGGGTTTGAAGATCTTAATGTTAGAATTTGTGATATATCCCTCCTCAATTGTTGCTGCACATGTTTTGTCACCCTTTGCAATAAATTTTGAGCGGTCTGTTGTAGCTTGAGGGTAATCGTCATAAAAAAATTGACATCTTTTTGGGTTCAAAACAATGTTTTAATCTCGCACCAACGTGTGACTTTTAGTCTTTTCCATAAGCGTTCTAACTTGGACAAGTTATTGCTCAACATGATATCAAAATCTAATTAACGAATGAGGTATTTAGTCGTAGTGACCTATTTGATAATTCTCATAGTTGTCAATAACAACAGCATACCCATTCAAATTCCACAAGTGGAGTATGAGGAGGATAAAGTGTAAGAAGACCTTACCTCTACCTCATGAAAGTAGAGAAATTGTTTTTGAAATTTTCATAGTTGTCCAATTATCTTATTATGTTGGTATAATCGTATAAGAAGCCTCTTGTAGAAGTAATTGAAGGAGTTGCAGCAGGAAAAATTAGTGTTCCCACAAAAAAGTATTCTGGCACGACAACGGATGAGGTCACCTACTTTTATTTCGAATTCTTATGGATTTAACTCCTTTATGATTAAAGACGTTTGATAAACGTGGCAATTAATACTTTTGGATCCTTGCTCGCTTTTATAATTATTCCTCGACTTAGCTAATGTGGCAGAAAACAATCAAGGTTTAGAGACAGAACAAGAAGTAGGCTAAACTATGGGAAGGGTTGATTCAGATTCTCTTGATTTTCATGTCCTTCAGGTACAATGACACATACTTTTTTCAGGTTCTTCAAATTTTGGCCCCTTTTTGTTCAAAAAGAACCATAGTGTTCTGTTTAGTGTACTAATAATATTTAGTGACAGATTATGGTGTTGTATATTGTATTTATTGCATATTGGATTTGATCACTTCTGTTAAGTCTTGGCAAAAAATAGGTTTAAGTATACATTTATGTAGATGTGCTAAGGTGAGGAATTGCAATCAGTTACTTCCTGAGATGCAACTGGAAGAGAGATATACGGTACACAAATAAAATGTAAAGAAAAAGGGCAAGTGCGACATTTTATTGTTGTTAGAATTGGTAGCCAAATACATGTGAATATGAGAAGAAAATGCCAAAGCACATCCTTATGTTTCTTAAAGCTAAAAGCAAAAAACATCATAACCATGAAGAACAAGAGAAATGCAGTATATTGTTCATTTATGCTATTCTTACATCTAGATTGGAAAAAATATTATGCTACTTCTGTCTCACTGTACTTTTCATTTCAAGGTACACCAACAATATGAGTTAAAAGGAGATGATCTACGTGGAAATAACAGACAACCGATTGAGTTCAATTCTCACGTTAGCTATGTCTAAGATCTGAGGATTCGATGAGCAATTTTGTTAGTCAATACTGGTGTTATCTTATTTTTCATGTATGAAAGGCCTAATTGTCTTAATTGAGGGTTGCAGTTAATTAAGTTATAGACACTAGTATCTATAGTTATGTTGTTAAAGGTTCAGACAAACATCTCTCTCCTTAATTGAGGGTTGGAGCAAGTACTTTGGCTAATTGTTACAACTTAAATCTGATTTGTCATTTTTAGCCTCGTAGGTTGTAGTTAAATTCACCTTTACAAAGCACGGTGGCATCTATCATTGATCAACCTTTGTACATAATCGACTTTTCCTTGCATCAATCATATCAACATATGCAATTTTAGCTTAATTTTTTTTATGTGCTACTTTTGAACAGTTTTTTTTATTATTCGCTGCTATACTTCGTCATCAAATGATTATGCAAAATATCCACAACTTGAAAATATAAAATGTTGGCCCGTGCATGCCAAACTAGTATACATATACATGCGTAATCTGACACATTCAAGAAGGGCAAAAGCTTTTGGAGAGAACAATTAAGAAAAATAATTGATTTAAAAAATATTATGACACATTCGTATTTTTAGATTGCATTGTATCATTAATAAAATACATATTAACTAATTATGAATACCCGGCCGAAATAATTGCTTCATGCATAATGGAGTCTTTTAAAAACAAAACTTACATTGAATTCACAAAATTAATTTTAAAAAATTTAACAATTTAACTTTTAAAAAATAAAAATTTTAAGTGTAATAATTACTAATGTGGACAACAATGAATTTGAAATACATTCAGTTGTTTCCACAAAAATGCAGGCAACAATGAATATGTTAAAAAACAGTATGTATAATTAAAATTAAAAATAATTTTAACTGTTATTAAAAAAAATTCAGACTTTTAAGAAATACTGTCTTTAACGATATATAACTGTTTATCAAATATATAGTCTCTCAACTCTAGATGAGATTTTTGTGGAAATGATTAACTATATTCCCATAAAATATGGCTATATAATTTAAAATAAAAATCATGTTTTTAATGTACTGAACTTTTAAACTATTACATAACTTAATGTAATGCTTATTAGTTATAACTATCACATATTTAACTTTTATAGTGGATATACAATTTTTCAAACTCAATTTTTATTTTATTTTATAATTGAAGAGTCAGTCTTCCTTTTAAAAAAAAAAATAAAATGTTTAGGTTTACTTGGATAACACTTAGAGGAGTAGAAGCGTAGAAACTTAATCAATATGAAATGAATAAAAAGATGTCATGTATTTTTGTACACAACTTTTTAATTGAACATTAACATGAGGAATTTATTATTCAGATAAATATTTTTAAAAAAATTATGATAAAAAATCTAATATGTACATACGTATATCTATATATTTTTTTGCAAAAAAAATGCTCAATTCTAAAAGTTCTTGAATAAATCTCTACTCGTTCACTTAGATGCTTTTGTTTACTTTTTGCTTGTAACATGATAATCTTTTAAAGAGTGTAAGATTAACATTGAAATATGAAGATGATCTTAATATAATTTTTCAATGTTCTAGGCCACTAATGTTATTTCATGAAACTATCTATGTTGATGTTCTTTGATTTTATGCTTTGATCAATAAACTTACTTTCTTGGTTGCTTCCATTTTAAAAAAATAAAAATAAAACTTACGTGAGTTCATGCTTGCTTTAAAAAACTTTCAAGCATATATGAAAAATCTTGTAAATATTCAACCTAAAGATAAATTATTTCACATACTAAATATTATCATACTCAATATTAAAAATCAAAAAATAATCCATAGTCACAAAATAATTTATTTTTAAAAAAAAATAAAAAATAATATATATATATATATATATATATATATATTCATTTTTGAGAGTTTTCAATTTCTTTCATAATTTATTTATTCATTTTTTAATCCTCTATATAATACATAAAAAATAACATATTTCTTAACAAAATAGGAAGAAAAAACACAAAGGCCTCAAAAAAGTGAAATTTTCTCATAATTACCACAAAGTATGTTCAATAACGTAGTTTGCAACGAACTCCTCTTTCTTGAGATATGAATTGCTCACTTAAATCGTTCAACTTCTCTTGATTTTTCTTCATCATTTTTTCTTGACTCGATTATGATCATAAATTTGTGCCTTCTTTTAAAAAGGATAAAAAAAATAATTGGAAAATAGTTACGTTGATTGGGGGAGAATTATCCGTTTGTTTGAATGTTTTATCACTAACCACTCCTTTTATTTTAGAATAAAAGTGGGAAGCTGATGTGCACTTGAAATATTTTTTGATTTATTTTTTTCATTATTATTAAATAAAAATGTGCAGTTATATAATATATAAGATTTATAATATTTAGTGAATTGAAAATACTTTAGAAAGAAAATAAATAGATAATTATTGTAATTCCTAAATTTTAAAACACCATTATCTTATACATTTATCCTAATAGTAAATGTTTCAATTTTTTATAAAAACTATTTTTAAGTGACCCATTCATGTAATCACGTTACTTGACTTTTAAATTTGTTTTACGCATTTCAATATTTTTTTATTCTGACATTTGTAATTATTTGTTTTAATTGATGATATATGTCTATTTTTTAATTTATAAAATTTAATTTATAAAATTCAATAATTAATAGAGAATTTTTAATTTAAAATAGATACTCCAAATTTTTAATTTAAGTAATTCTTTAAAAAAATATTATTTTTTTATTTTAAATTTCTTTTTAGTGTTTGAAATTTCTGTTTTTATTTTTAGAATTTCAATTAATTTTAATAATTTGCAAATTTTGTGGTTTTTTTTTGTAGTGCTGACAATAAAGATTTATAATATTTTAAAGAGTCCAAAACGTGTTAAAAAATATATAACAATTATGTTTCTATTTATTAGTTTTTATTTTCAATTTTTGATGATTTATGCTTTTTACGAAATTTTTTTTTAAAATAAAAAATTATTTTTAGATTTTAAATTAATTTTTTTTGTGGTAAGTTTTTTTTCTGATTTTTATAATATACAGATAAATTATATATCTATATATAATTATTATTATTATTCTATTATTATTATTAGTATTACAGTAAAACCTCTATAAATTAATACTCGGTAAATTAATAATCTCTCTAAAGTAATATTTTCCTCCGATCCCGACTTGGGCCAACAGAAAAATCACAAATTTCGATAAGATAATATATTTCTGGAAGACCCCTATATAAATATATGGTCCCATTAATATCATAAATTAATAATTCTTTAAAAGTACAAATATATGTAAGACAATTCAGTGAAATATGATTCAAGTGTGTTCTGTTTTTTCTTAAAATTTAAATCTTGTTGAAGCTCATCTCTAACTTTTCTTATTGCATCCAAGAGCTCTGGTGTTGTCTTTTCGAACTGCACCATAAAATTGTGAAGAGTTCTAGATGCGATAACTGATTTCTTACGCGATGGTTTCAAAAGTATAGTATCATCTTCTACTTCATCATCAACATTGCTTTTTCCGATGGTATCCACAATTTCTTCTAAGCTTTGGGCCTTTGAACATGTATCACTTTCACCCGGATAATCCAACAGGTTATTGACATCCATTTTATTATGGTAACAGAGATCATTAATCATGACCTCAAGTTCATGAATGACGTTGTAGACATTGAAATTTTGTGAGACTCTACAAGATGCGTTCAATTTGAGTTGGGACTCTAAAAATTGTGTTCAACTCAATTAGGATTTTTGGAGGCTACTCAACCCTAAACCCTAGTTCACGCCTATATAAAGGGTACTAAATTCTCTTAAAAGGCATCTCAAAATATCCCATTAACTTTCGGGTATTTTTAAAGATCAAGATCTCGAATATTCCACAAAAGTCATGGAATATTTAAATAGAGGTCAAATCTAAATCATCCTAGTTCAAGAAATACGCCACTAACGGCCCTCGGATCATGGATAAATCTTAGGTGAGTAGAATTAAGGGAGGAATAGAATTCTACCCACAATCTTGATGAATAAAATTATGTTTCTTCATATTTTTTTGTGATTGTAATTTATTTTATGTCCCTTTAAAATTTGTTGCAAACAAATTGGCACGCCCAATGGGACCAAATCTGCCCTTCATCTCTTCTCTCATAAATCAAATCTGAAAATCTGAAGCTGCAAAGGTGGAAGAATGAGTACTTCAAACCTCGTATTTGAGTTTCATCGAGTCTACACTGCAACAAGCCTTGAAGCAGGGGGCATTTATAGACATTGAAATTTTGTGGGACTCTACAAGACGTGTTCAATTCGAATTGGGACTCTAGAAGGTGTGTTCAGTTTCAATTAGAATTCTTAGAGGCTAGTCAGCCCTAAACCTTAGTTCATGTCTATATAAAGGGTACTAAATTCCCTTAAAAGACATCTCAAAATATCCCATAAACTCTTGGGTATTTTTAAAGATCAAGATCTCGAATATTCCATAAAAGTCATGGAATATTCATATAGAGGTCAAATCTAAATCATCCTAGTTCGAGAAATACGCCACTACTGGCCCTCGAATCATGGATAAATCTTAGAGAGTACTTCAAGCCTCATATTTGAGTTTCATCAAGTCTACACTCCGACAAGCCTTTAAGCAGGGGGCATTTGTAGACATTGAAATTTTGTGGGACTCTACAAGATGCGTTCAATCGAGTTGGGACTCTAAAAAATTGTGTTCAACTCAATTATGATTCTTGGAGGCTACTCAACCCTAAACTCTAGTTCACGCCTATATAAAGGGTACTAAATTCCCTTAAAAGGCATCTCAAAATATCTCATTAACTCTCGGGTATTTTTAAAGATCAAGATCTCAAATATTCCGTAAATTAATGGAATATTCAAATCTAAATCATCATAGTTCGAGAAATACACCACTAACGGCCCTTGAATCATGGATAAATCTTTGGAGAGTAGAATCAAGGGAGGAACAGAATTGTACCCGCAATCCTGATGAATAAAATTATGTTTCTTCACATTTTATTTGTGATTGTAATTTATTTTCTGTTACTTTAAAATTTGTTGCAAACAAAGTGCACGCCCAGTGGGACCAAATCTGCCCTTCATCTCTTCTCTCTTAAATCAAATCTGAAAATCTAAAGCTGCAAAGGTGGAAGAATGAGTACTTCAAGCCTCGTCTTTGAGTTTCATCGAGTCTACACTCTGACAAGCCTTGAAGCAGGGGACATTTATAAACATTGAAATTTTGTGGACTCTACAAGACGTGTTCAACTACATTTTGA